ATTTTATAGCGACACTCAAGGGCACGCAAATTCAAATGGTGATAACAATGAACAAAGAACACAGATGTTGTAGATAAAGTCGGGAATAAATACAGTTTACTCATAGCCATCCATATGTAATTATGGTATTGCAAGCTGAAATGTATTTTCAAAATGAGAGTGATGTTGCACGAGTTTGGTCAACACCTGTATATCTAAGAAATGATTGTTAGTTTTGGTAAGGTAAATGATGAAATCCCTCGACCAGATAAGAGACTATCGAATCACATTTTGTTATATGTAGTCCATTGATGGGATTACGATAGGCCCGCTGAGCACTTTGGTGGTGGTCATGCTAAAGACTTCAGGTAGTTAATGGTGTATCTTTTCTCGTTCGTTGTCCAGATCCTCGTTGCATTCAGCTCACTCAGTTAAGCTGTGTAATCATAAATCACAATCCTCACCAAAGATCTACGAACGGAAACAATATCAGCCACCTGTCATTCGAAATCTAGCGATGAACAACAACAACATTGGTCAATTCAATTCCATCCTTGGACCGATTGAGATCATACCTGCCCCCATCAATAACCTGGCGACAAGCATGAACAGAGGAGCACGAAATGACTGTGTGCATTTCACTTTTCCATTCTCATCCGCAGTTTTTTATTACACACCGGTGTGTGATGAACAGCAGACGTGATCGACCCAATAGTCATGAAGAAATGCTGTTCGGTGATGGTAACCCACAAATCAAGCCCCGAAATATGGAGTGACGAAGCACATAAGGCTCGGTTAGGTTCAGGAGTGCTGACCGGGTTACAGCAAAGCTACCTACCACCAAAGTAGGGTGGCGGTTACGGAGCTCGAACCTCGAACCGCAGGGTCCAAAGCATGCGGGTGACAGCGACTAAACCACTGAGTCATCACCACTCAGTGTAATATAGTACACAATTAAAAACCCCATCATCTATGTATTCAAACAACTGAGAATACGGGTAAGATGTTCTTATACATATATGCAATTGGGAGTCAATTTGCAACGAGAACTGGAGATGAATTGTCGTCTTTTGGGGTCAAAACGTAAACAATGTAACTTTTATCGCGGACGCCTTCCACGAAATACTCTAGATGATAGTGATGCCGTGTATTTTTTCCTGGTCTTGTCAGTAGAATACCTGGTGAGACAGTACTCGATCATCTAGGCTAAATATATGTTTGTCGCCTCAGTTAGTCTTCTTCCAGTCAACCAATCAAACTAAATAGCCCCTCAATGATTTGTGTAGGTACATTGTATACTTCATCCCAAACCTAAGAAATATTTGTCGTATGATTAATTAAATTCCAGTCCTACAGTTGAATTTCTTTCTTGGTATTTAGAGTGATCTTTGGACGTTTAAGGGTCAGTCTAATATAAATTGGAAGCCATTCCATTAGCTCATGGGCATGTTACACACTTGCTGCTACTAGAACTGAAACGTGCTGATCGCGCACTTGTATTTATCGTGCCTCAACAACAGACATTTAGACACGGAATTTTCTTGGGGTTATGAAACGATATAGTTACCCGTTGAAATCAAACCGGATGACGACAGTAAATTAACGAGAATTGATAAGTGGATGGCTCAACTAAGCGCTAATAGAATGCCACCAATGACAGACACAGGTTTGGACCGAACTAATTCAAATCAAGTTAAAGGCTGCATTTTGGAGACCAAACACAACTGAAAGTAATTAGGTAGCATAATAACGTAAACCCTGAAAAAGGAATATGCAATATTAAATCGACTTATGACAACAGTGACAACTTTTTCACTCAAACAGTGAAAGTCAGAGAATGATAATGCAAAGGCGTCGCAGCAAAACACAGTCTAGAAGAAAGACTGAAACCCAATGTCAGATAAGGTGATGGACTTTATACGTACATAATATTAATCATATTGTTTGCTGAATGTAAATTATGAATAAGATAACGTATATGTTGTGCAAAATATAAACGGGAGGAGCAATGTCGTGGTGAAGTAAATTTTAAAACTCACCATGTTATAGTTGCAAGCTATGTCTGAAACTCCAGTCCAGAATGATCACGAGACATAAATAAACAATAATGTTTGCGGTTTGCCACAACAGAGTGGGTAGCAAGGAAAGTCCTTTAAAATTTCTAATTGATTATCTCTTTACATGTTTTCCTCAAAATGTTTAAAGTGTTTTTTCTTGTGGCTCCATATGTATTTAAATTCTGTTATACTTTCAAAATCGTGTGGTTTCAATTGATAAATAATTTCTGAACCAAAACCTGGGCGATTATGTTAGATATCAACAAACCACAGTCGAGATTCTCAGTGGTGATTGACGTGCAAGTAACTCAAATCGTTCAATCAGTTTTATGCGTCATTGTTTGAACAGTGAAATGTAGTAACCAACTAAGTCAGAAGATGGTACACATCGTTGTTTGATGGACCCTACATGTGAAGTTCAAGCTGTTCAGAAATGAGTTACACCGGTTTGAGCGTTGAAGACTTTTGAACGTTTTGAAAACCGGTGTGTTTTGATGGTACAAATTGTAACAGATGCCAGAGGTATTAGCCAACCGAACACAGAAACACTCTTGCGGCCACACGATGGAACAAGAGCATTAATCTCTCAGTACTTAGTACTACAGTTGGTGAACTGTTTTGGAACTGTTTATCTTCCAGGAATACCACGGATTAACATTGAGTTGGCACATTCAACAAAATTTTCCTTGGCTATATTCTGATTATTACTAGATGAACGAAGTCAGAAAATTGTGTGGCCGCAAAGGTTCATTTTAGGACGGACGGAGATATGCATGCCCTTAGGGTGCACAAGCAGAAGAGACCAGACCTGACCAGATCAAAAAAAACTATACAGTGCTTACCTCTACCTCAGTTCCCGCGATAATTGCTGAACAACAGACGGAATTCAACACGTAATAGTGACGCTGTTCAGCATAAATTGCCAAACTCGCAATGTACAGTGCGATTTTTCCATCGTTTCTCGTCGTCTCGTCCATCTCACCCGTGACCTGGAACAAGTATATTCCTTTCTGTGGTCTGATTGGATCATATTCAGCGATCTGCGGCTCGTAAAATCTCTCATCCCAACACGAGACTGTCTGATTACCGGCTTGTACGTTTTGTAATGCTCTTGTTGTTATGTCCAGTCCATCTGTGTGGTGATGACTTTTCAACTGCACCGTCGAATTCACTGGCCCTGCCTGAGACTCACGACTGTAGACAAAATGTGGTTTCTCGCTCGGGTTAGCTGAGCAACCACCAGGTCCCTTGTTACGGCTGAACCATCGGACCGATCGATAACTGAACCCGATCAGTCGTGTGCTTTTCGGGCCGGCACAGGACGAGGATAGGTTCCGTATCCGATGCTGACTAGGTGTTGGTAGAGAATCATCACAAGAGAATCAGTTGTGGAGCGGTGCGCCATGTGGGAAATTCGGAATGGAAAATGCTCAAGCGATGATGACACTGGGCCAACGTTTGACTCGTTTAAGACACACGCGGTGTTTTTGGAAGCGGGTTCGGTAAACAGATAATCATAATAAAACTTTGAACTTATCCTAATAACGGACAATATCAATATCCTCTCATGTACGGGTGTTCATCAAACTCGTACAACATCAACCTGATTTTGGAAATACATTTCAGTCTCCGATATCATAATTGTATATTTATTCCTGACTATATTTCCCCCTTCTATGTTCTTAGTTCTCTTCTATCACCGATGAATTAAAGTGAACTTGAGTTTTGCGATAAAATTTGTAATGGTTCGAAAGTTATGGCTCAGATTGGGAAAATATTTTAGGCGAACTAGCATGGGAATTAATTTTTTTAAGTAAATGATTTCGGTAACTGCTACTCTTCACATGCATTCGCGGAAGTCATATTTTTCACAGATGAAGATTGGTTTATCTTCTCGCATGGGTTTGGTATTAGAAAACGGTCAAACGTAATTAAATATTATTTTTTACATTTATGCTGTCCGGGGAGAGGTCAAGTTCAATGTCAAATTCATTTAAATACTGCGCAGCAGCTGGAAGTTTAATCTAATCGAAAACTTCTTACTGTATCAGAAACAGGGATAAGTCAGGTGTTACGATATCAGTCATCAATGTTTAGAGTACGGGGTGTATTAGAGGAACCTGGCAAATTCTGTTTGGCAGTCAACTTGGTGAACTTGATGCTAAAGCCACTACCTCGAGTGCTCTAAAATGAAGAAGGGCAAATGGAACATGGATGCGATGAAAGTACATTACCTGTATGAAGGCCATGAGTCATTTCAATAAATTAAGCTAAGTTAGGTTTTCTACTGTGACATTTTTATTTTACAGCTGATGCTTCAGCAGCCATCGTCAAAATCGTACATTGTAATGGCAAATGGCTAAAAGACGCAAAGACATAAGTGAGTATTATATCATATATATTGCGTCTGATGTGTGGCAGTTTCCTATTCAATCCCGTGAATGAGGCTGGAAAAACGAAGCATTGAGAGGAGCAAATGTGATGAAAATCAAGATGTACAAGTGTTAGTGAAAGCTTTTCCTTGTTCCCGTACTACATCGCAATCAACACCAAACGATCGTCGATCGACAAACGACGAGTACGTGAGCAAGTCATGATAAAAACTAGTGTAATAATCGTCTGTTCCTAATCCTTTACTAATAAACCACAATAAATTGACGTTATCCCTAAATAGAGGTACGTCGCTCAAAAACAGTATTGTGATTACAGAAAGGGTCAGAGGGAATTTACTTGTTTAAGATCACGGGTGAGAGGGACGCGACGATGGTAAAAGATGGACCAATCGCACTGCATACATATAATAAGGTGGTAAGAGATTGGATCTTTTGATGGAGAGAAAGAACTGAAAGCCGTGTGACCAAAGCACAGGTGAAACAACCTACCAATGCATTATTATCTTTTAAAGCACTCTGGTTTAATTAAAGGTAAGAACAGGAAAACCACTGCTGTAGGTCTACGGTCTTTCTTCAGTTCCTTCAGCCAACCAATCTGAAAGAAGGGAAACACTTATCCTACTTATTGGCTCTGAGCATTTCCTCATGCCTCGTCTACATAACATCTGTTGACCTCCAGGTGTTTTCCACTATACCAAAGCGATTACAGCAAATTTATTTTTTGCGCTTGGTAAAATACAATCCGCATTGTGGGAGGAATACTTAATTACCACCCATTAGTATAAGTCCGAAATACAAATTCACCGGGGAATAAGAGGATAAAAGTTGATAATTGAAGTATAGAATAGCGAGAAAAAAGTGCTCCATTAAATACGAGAAGTGAGATTCAAATGGGGGGGGATTTTAGATTGTAAACGAACTGTAAGAAAATTAGTCCATATATTCGTTTAATTGTTATGAATCACATAATAATGTTAACATATGTATCTAATGGACGACAAACGAAAGGAGATTTATCATTTACTTAATATACATTGCAGGTAGCCTTTTGAAGAGAAGATCCTTAAAGGTCAAAATGGATAGCTAGACACTAACACCAGTGAAAAAGGGTTGAACAATTTTCGAAATACATGCTGAATAGGTTGCGTTTCAGGGAATCATCGATTGCCTTAGGAGCTATGAAAGATTTAGGCAATCTAGCAATATATGTCGTATTTTCTTTGTGAAATTCATTTAACTGGGTTTGAGATGTTTAATCTTGTCCAGAAGCTTTACCTGATTAGAAAATCTTGCAACCATGGCATGGAGACTTAATTAGGTGACGGGGAAGATATTGATAGAGATTTGGAAAGATAGTTTCACTCAGATACTACGGTTTAATGCCAGTTCGGAGGTGCACAATCGTACCGTTTCACTGTTGAGCATCAAGTATGACATATTTGTTGTCATTAATTGCCTCAATATACTTCCGACTCCAATTTGGCTACTCTGCCAAGAAATGAAATAATAAGAGCCTTATGAAATTATGCAGCAAAATCAACCAAAGTTTGCGTTTATGAGGGTGAAGCCAGATACGAAGAGTTAATGATAATCTAGAGAACCTAATATAAGTGTTTCCCACCCGACTGAAATCATCGTAACAGTAATTACGGTATCTTGAGCTGTTCACACTACAACTAATTGTTGGTAGTGAAAATAAATAAAACCATTTCACTAAAATACAACATTCAATTTGATGGCGTTCTCTTTGAAACAGTGTTTCTTTCTTAAGGTTTGGCTTATAATTGGATTAGGCTGTTGTACTCAACAAACCACAACATTTTGTGTTCTTCCTCCATGACTGTGAATTCCATTTTACCCGACTGGGAACAATCTTTTGCACTGTTTTATGTTTTCTGAGAGCATCAATTAAACACTGCCAAGTCCCCGAAAACATGTGAAGCTGATAATAAAACACGTGTCATCTCGTTCTTCGGCAATCACTCCTGTTACCTTGTCAATGCGATTGTTATATTTCACAAGGTATTCTAATAGCATTTTTGGCTTTCAGTTAGCAACATTTGGTTCGGTGCGGTTTAACGCAGTGGACATCATCAGTTTCTCCGAATGAACTGTTAGTCTGACAATATTTGTGGTGTACAATTAACATTTTACTATCTGATTCAGCGTGAACTGCTTCTGTCCCCGGATTTCTGATATCCTTATGACCAGTTGAGTGGATAAATCTAGTTTAGATGATGTGCGTCACACATGTCGGAAGGGATATTAAGATTTCGATAAGGTGTCATTAGTGGAAACCAATGTTCTGCGTTTAAACATATCCCCTCAAATTTGACTGAATATTGTGCGTATCGAAATAAATCAAACATTTACAGCGATTCAGCGAAACAAAATTCTGTCAACCCTGAGACTACAGTGAATGCTGCTCAGTTACTCGTTTGTATTGATTATCTTTGAAGCGAAGTTCCAAAAATTGTTCACGCCTTCCGATTAAACACATCAAACAGGTTGCTTGTCTAAACACGAACAGAGAACGTCGCTTAGTTTTCGATGAAAGAGAGTTTATAGATCCTCACTCTGTAGCATTATTCAAAAGTTATAGTTGATCAAACTGGTGTAAACGCTTTTCGCTATCTATATATTTCACGTGTATTCCTCAGAATAATTTGATAACTATAGTCTTGGTGGGTGTTCCGTATTCCCGTGTCCACTGACGTGTTTGTTTTCGACCTAAACGTACGGTGTTGTTCGTTTAGATGGCGATTTAGTATACACGCTGAACCTTTTTATTATATACACTTCCACTTACCCATCGCGACAGATAAACTAACCAGTGCACATGAATCGACCCGCTCAACGAGAAAGAATTTCAAGGGTACTGGTAATAAAGTAAACAGTTCCATATTTTGACTGAAAGTTCGGATGTCACTGCTGTCAGGGAGACGAAATTAGGCACTGCTGACGCAACATCTGTTCAATACTGTTTGTCGGTCATCCCAAAATTTTCTATCGTATTTAAATAATTCCAGCATTTACAAGGAACTCGAGTTTCTATCAAGATGATTGCAAATCGATTCCATATAGGGAGAACACAAATGCAACTGGTAGATGAAAAAGTCAGAAAAAAGTCAGTTTTCAGAGTGAATAACTTAAGGCGTAACAAAGATGTCCGGGCGTTCATAAGAAGAATTGAACACATGGGAAAGGTATCGGAAGGTTGTTCGATTCGATCATAAAAATTCAGTGAAATTAGTCGCCGAGATGACTTTCGAAATAATAAAAATATGCGTAGATGAAACAATGGTTTTACATTATGGAACAATGCGGAAAACATTATCAGACGTTGCACCAACGAATTAGGTCTTAGTAAGTTGCCATCTAAACTTCACGCACTGTTGAATATGTCCGAGTGGCACATCTGTAAAAGTAACACACACCTAGTCGATCTATCCACAGAGCACGCACAACACCAGTCAGTCGTGTATAGGTCCAATTTATTCGGCCAGCCTAGTGGCAGAACGATCTGTGCAAAAGATACTACCAAAGTCAAGTGGACACACATCATAAGGAGAATGTCGCACCTT